CTTTCTGAGATCATCTCTGCTAAGAAGATCGGGTAATGGGGAAAGTATTTAGAGCAGCGATGAGTTTCGTTTTTAAGTTTCATTTCCTGAACCTGGAAAACTTTTTTCCCAAAAAAGAAAAGGTAGACTGCCTGAACTACTTGTAAGTAGGGTTTATGTATTTTGAGAGAGTCAGTGTTACTGTATTAAGGATTCTGATTTATGTATTTTGCGGTACTTGTCACTTTGCATACTTGGTTTATTCTCCTTTTCTGATATTTCATGGTTAGATCTCTTCGTGTCATTTTGCTGGGTTGATGAGACTTCATCCAGTTGCTTGTTTGCAGCATGTCTCAGTTTGTCTGTTGTGTTGTTTCGTATCATGGATAGTGATGTAACATACAAAGTGATGAAGTGTTGAGAATGCTTGGCATAAATGTTTTGGATAAAGATCCTCTAAACTGCATTTTGCATTGAACGGGTAGCTTTTGATGAAACGAAAAAAAGTCAGTTATAGTTGAATTTGTGTGCTGTAAAAGCTACTAAAGATCAATTCTTGTCTGGCTGAGAACTCATTTACTTGTATTTTATCATAAAGTTGAACAATTTGTACTTCATCCTTTAATGTAAGAAGCTGAATTTATATTTTTTATGTGCCTGGAATTTGTAAGATGATGGAATAAGCTGTAGTGAATAATGGAACATGAATGTACTGAACTGGCCTATTCAACTTCAACTTCTAGTTGTTTATGATGTTTAGTGTTAAGAAGGACTTTGACAGAAATTCTTTTATTAAAAAAGGATATCGGGCGAATCTAGTAACTGGGTTGACTTTTAAATTTTAGGATAGCTAGTTGATCTCAAGTTCTTAATTGAGATTTTCATGATACTTATGAACTATCCATTTTTACATTCAATCCCATGTTTTCTTGTGCCTCTGCATTTCTCTTATATTATATGGTTCACCCCACACGGGAGCGCGCGCGCGCGCGCACACAAAGCTTGCCATAGTTGATTTTTGTTGTACCGTAAAGCATAAAGGATAACAGTAAATTAATTCAAGGTGGGGCAGCAATCTTCCAAAAAGTTTTATAGAATATTACGGTCACATATAAATTCATGAGCATCCTATAAGCATCTAAAACCCTATAAATTTTACTGCAAGTTCTGTTACTTTGTATCTTGTTGTTCGGTTTTGAATGAAAGTCTTCCATTTTTATGCAAAAATTATGTTGTTAATATGTCATTGCTCAATAGTCTACGACATGTTAAGATGTCACGCTAATTTTACACAGACAGTCCCTGCCATGATCATGCTAATTGGACACTTTCTAAATAATAATTCAGATGTGCATGAACAGATTGAACTTCAAAACCATTATGTTCTAACAAAAGACACCACCAAACTGGAATGTTTGCACATTGCCATGCCCGTGTTATATAACCCTTGGTTATTTGGATTTGAACTTTTGAAACTCATGACACAAATCAGGTGATATAAGCTTATTCATTGTTTTAAGTCGGAATGCTTTAGGCTGGAATGTGACATAATTTTAATGATGTCAAAGCTGAACTGTTACATCGTCCTTTTGTTGAAATGGAATGCCTTCTTGAGAGACAAGTATTCTATTTTTTATTTTTTGTCAGAGATGCTTAAAATGTATGCTGCAACCCATCTTCATTAGAAATGAAATTTATATTTTCTGGTAAGGTAGTTTTTTATGTTTTGCCTGAAATAAACCTTTTTTAACTCCATGAACCTTTGATTTTATTTTTTGAAAAAAGGACAGATTGCCTGAAATGCTCTGTAGGGCTTTATGTATTTGAGAGGGTCAGTGTTACTGTATTAACTATTAAGGATTCTGAGTTGTATTTTGCTTGTGGTGAATCTTGCCGTTTTAAGCATTGTTGTTTGATTCCTCTGAAGTATGGCATTCCAGTGCATTGCCAATGTTCATTTTCTTTCAGTTGAAGGCCTTGTTCAGGTGATTTATTAAACCTCCAAGGACCAGTGAACCTCTCAAGATAAATATACATGTACACGGTTGAACATTTTATTTTGCTGATTAATTTGCTTTATCAATTTGTGTTTTGACTTTAAATTTGCCATGCACGAGGGGGTTATATAGTTTGTTTGAATAATAGGTTGTGTTTATGATTGGAATTCCTGAAGTCTTTATCCATAATACAAGCTTTGTATCCCTTCTTTCAATGTCTTATCACAGAGGAGATAGAGCTATTAATCCCAAAGATACCAACTTAAGCATGCTTTAGATGATCGACTTTTATCATTGCTCTTTCAAAGAAGTATTACGGAGGAAAGAGTTGACAATTTTTTTCTTTCTTTCAAACCTTCCACAGTCTCCTTGAGGCTTGCTTCCAGTGGAATGAATTGAATCCCCAGTGTTTGCTTTTACTTTAGAAACCTGATAATTAGAGTGTGTTTGGGAGTTTAAGATTGAATGGAAATGATCGGTTATTAGTGGAATGGAATGAAATAGAGTGGAGTAGAGTGGAATGAAACAAAATATTTTATTATTTAGGAGTTTTATGATTATAAAATGGATGGGGTGGAATAGTTTTAAAATTTTTTTCTGATATTACTGATATGATTAAATTTAAAGAAAATAATAATGTTCATTAAATAATTATAATATTTATGCAATAAATAATAATAATAATTAAAATTAATTGTCAAACAAGATACTCAAGAAGTAACAATAAAAAGAGAAAGCAAGTATCATAGCTATTTAAGCAAATATTTTTGTTGCATAAGAGAAAAATACGGCAAAGTCATAATGTTAAAAGATGTGAGAGAGAGAGTTGGCAGGGGGTAGGGTATACACTATACTTGAATGTTCAGTCAGCTTGACTTTGTTTGACACTTTGTTTGAAGCATTTGAGCACATGGGGTTAAGGATTATTGAGGGTCAAATCTTGCCTAAACATGTACAATCTTTTTTAATTTTTTTAATTTTTTGTGAATAATATTTATCTTATGACTTTTTTTTATTGAAAGGTATTATAAATATATTATTTTTAAGATCTTTTAAACATTTTTTATTATTATAATTTTTTAAATCTCTTTCAAAATTTAAAATTATATTTTATTACATAAAAATAATTGGCATTTATTGTTTATTTGAACTTGTAAAAATATTTTCAGGTCAATTAGGCCAACTTGGTGTCTAACTGCACATTAGGTTGGACACCAGGCAAGGGTGATACCTAACCTAACTTTGCCTATGGAAAATTCTAGTAAGAGAAAAGAGAGATGGCTGTAGAATAAAAATAATAGATAAAATTTTTTTATTAGGATAAAAGATTGGGGGTAATTTTATAAATAAAATAATTATATTACGTTAATTTATTTTTGACCTCTCAATTTGGGGGGACAAAAGTATTGAATTATGGATAGCAAAGGAGGGCTTTAGAAGCTTTTTCTTATTATTCCATCATTTTTTTTAAAAAAATTCACAAATAATGACTTAGATTTTTTAGCCATCTCTCTCCAATTCATTCTCCTTTAAAAAAATCTCTCAAACATAGTGTTAGGCTCCAATGGCTTATTGTCCGCACAGCTATCAAGTATGATAGGAACCAATATTTGAAATTAGTGAAAATTTGAAACAAAAACAATACTTAAACTAAACAAATGCATTTAAAGAGAGAGAACAAGCCATTTGGTTTATCAAAATGATAATATACTTCAAGAAAGTAGAGACGACTATTGAAGTGGCAAAATGACAGATAATTTAAGCTTTAGCAATAAGAGTGGAGAGGAATATATGATTGAGCAAGCATTTTTAATTTTTTTGGGGCCAAAACGAAGCATTTTTAAATATAAAGATAGAATTGAACTTATTTTTTTGGAAGTTGCTATAATGGGTGTCGCTCATGTAAAATCTTTACAATAACAGAGAAGTGTGCCACCTTTTCAACCGAAACAGTGGAGCTGTTTGAAATTATTTTTATTTTATTATTTTAGTAATTAGTGTTTTGTAAAAAATAATAAAATAGGTATTTTTTCATTCTTCTTTATTCTCCAGAACAATAATAATAGAACACTTAAAAGTTGTTTTTATTTTTCTGTTCTTCAGAATAATATTTTTTTTATTTTTTAAAACACTTTTTAAAAATATGTTTTCAAACAGATCTTTTTGTTTTGAAGAATAAAAAATTGTTCTCAGAACAAGTTTTTAAATAGGCCCATATTCTCCCTTGGCTGAAAGAGTTTCAAACGCTTAAATGTGCGCATTTGCAACATTTTTAATTATAAACAAATTATTAAAAATTTACATTTTTTATAAATTTTTATTTTAATAAATATAAAAAAATAAAAAATAAATTAGACCGTTCAGATTAAATTTAAATGGTTTAATTCTCATTACGCAGCTACATCCATAGAGAGAGTGTAGTGGAGGGAAAGTGTGCCTGGGGAAAGAAAGATGACAAATAGAATACATGGGAGGGAGAGGTGAAAAGAGATGAGTGTATTAGGGAAATTCAAAGTGAGATTCGGACCATATATTGCTTTTAAAATGTTTTGGGATTTCATGGTCATTTCCAGATGTTTTGGGGGTTACTTTAGTTCTTGAAAACCTAATTGTCATTCTTGCATAATAAAACTCGGGCGAGTCTTAGTGGGCAAGGCAGTATATTGAGCCCAATGCTTGGGCCTGCCCAAAAGAATATGACTCTCACCACGTGGAATTTAAAGTTTCTGACTCTCTACTCTCGGTTATTATAGAAAATAAAAATAAAAATTATACAATACTAAATAAACTACATTTTTATTAATTAAAAGGGAAAAAATAAAAAAACTTGATTATTAAAATTTGTGATAAGACAAGGAGAGAGAGATCGCAGAACTGGAGTCATTCTAGTGCATCAGAACCTACTTCTTAATCCTACTATTTAGGCTGCCCTTGGTGGACATTTTTTTTTAACTTTTCTAATAACTCAATTAAATTAAATTTCAAATTTATCTCATTTGTATTTGTTCCCACTCACTCTATTAATGTTTTCTGCGACGAACTTCTTCATCTTCTTTCCAGCTAGTTGATTCTCCTTCTAAATGCATCTTTTTCCCCGTTGGGTACGACTTCTCTTGGCATTGTGTGTTCGCGTTTGTGTTTCTGTAGTGCGAGTCCCACATCGTATAAACTTTAACGCGCTTCATTCTTTATATACAGAAAGCACAGGACCTAATCCGTCCCTTCGGGGACATCCGATAAAATTGGAACGATACAGAGAAGATTAGCATGGCCCCTGCGCAAGGATGACACGCACAAATCGAGAAATGGTCCAAATTTCTTTTCCGTTTTCATCCCCAAATCGGCCTCAATTAGCGGTGGTGGATTTCGTGGGTTCTTCCTGAGAAACCCCTATTTGTTCGTTTTTGTTCTTGGTTTCTTATTAGCGGTGGCGGGCATTGTTTTCAGTTGCCATTTTGGTGTTCGCTCAGGTTCGTTCTGAGAATCATCTCTGCTAAGAAGATAGGGTAATGATGAAAATATTTAGGGCAGTGATGAGTTTCGTTTTAAGTTTCATTTCCTGAATCTGGAAAACTTTTTTTCCCAAAAAATGGAAAGGTAGATTGCCTGATCTGGTTGTTTGTAGGGTTTATGTATTTTGAGAGAGAGAGAGAGAGAGAGAGAGAGAGAGAGACATTGTTACGGTACTAAGGATTCTGATTTATGTATTTTGCGGTACTTGTCACTTTGTCATTTTGACAGGGTTGATAAGACTTCATCTAGTTGCTTGTTTGCAACACGTCTCAGTTTGTCTGTTGTTTCATATCTTGGATAAAGATGTAACATTCAATGTGTAAAAGTGTTGAGAGTGCTAGGCATAAATGTTTTGGATAAAGATCCTCGAAACTGCATTTTGCATTTGAATGGGTAGCTTTTGATGGGGAAAAAAACAGAGTTGATTTTTGCAGTACCGAAAATTAATTCTAGGTGGGGTAGGAATCTTCCACAAAGTTTTCTAGAATCCATTCAGTCACATCTAAATCCATGAGCATCCTATAAGCATCTGCAGCCTGTAAATTCACTGCAATTACCCTTCTTCCAAATTAGAGATTTATGTTGAATGCTGAAAACTAGTTCTTGGTACTGCTGTATAGGTTCTTTGTGTCTTTTTGTTCAGTTTTGAATGAAAGTTTTCCAGTTTTATTCAAAAGTTATGTTGTTACTATAGCATTGCTGAATGGTCTGCAGCATGTAAAGATGTCACACTAATTTTATGCAAGTAGCAGTCCTAATCATGATCTTGCTAATTGAACACTTTCTAGATGATAATTCAAATGTGCAGACACAGGCTAAACTTCATGTGGAATTTTTGATTGAATATCATTCCTTTCTAACCAAAGACACCACAAAACGAGAAAGACTGCACATTGCCATGGCACTGTTGTATAATCCTTGGTTATTTGCATTTGAACTTTTGAAACTCATGGCACAAACTTCAGGTGATAAAGCTTATTTAATTTTTGAAGTCGGAATACTTTAGGCTGGAACTTGAACATAATTTTAATGAAGTGAAAATTAAGCTGAACTGTTATATCATCCTTTTCTTGAAATGGAATGCCTTCTGTTAATTTTAAGTATTTTTGTCAGAGATGCTTAACGTATATGCTTCAACCCATCTCCGTTAGAAATGAAATTTATATTTTCTGGTAAAGTGGTTTTTTTTTTTTTTAAAAATATTTTGAATGGAATGGGTTTCCTTACTTTGTATTTTGCAGAAATTTTTGTAGTTGAGGGTAATTCTGCTGGAGGAAGTGCTAAACAAGGTCTTGACCGGCGTGTCCAAGTAAATTATAAATCTTGGGATGAATTCCTATTGCAGTGAAACCACTTAATTTAATCAATTATTTTAGCTGATAATAAGGAGCGGCATGGGCAAAGAGAAATCATGATAACAATAACTAATTGGAATTAATACCTTACAAAAGCTTAGATTTGTGAGGGAAACACTTTTTAATTGCCATAGCCTTCTATCCATTTGAGCAATAAAGAAATTGCTCTTGCATAGCCATTTCTACCACCCTCGGACATTATTGATGACATTTACACAACAGAAAGTGAATGAATTTATAGTGTTAATATTTTCAATTGTGCAGGGGACTCTTTTCTAGCTTTGAAGTGAATATTGATGAATGATGATGTTACTTGGTTTATTTTCTTGAAGGCTTATGATTACTTGTGGAAAGGAAGACAGTAAATTTATTGATATTGATGTGATGATATTATGAAGTTCCCTCCAGCTGCAGTGTTTCCATTTGTATTTAGCATTCATATTCCTGGATACACTGAATTCAGAAAGTACTGGGTAGCTGCAAGTTTTATTTTTTGTTAGTAATAGTCTATCAATTTAAATGTTAAACCTATTGGCTAAATCAAGGATAGGATTTTAAAAAGGATGTAGATGGTGCTCACATCCACACTCTCCTGTTGACATTTTTCTTCAGACATCAGGTAAAGGATGAGAATAGTTTTCATCAGTCTACTTCTACGAACAAAACCAGGTCATGTCATTTACAGAATAAATGCAAATTACATGATCTAATGCAGCATACAACTTGCAAAGGTTAAAAGGTATGATGTTAATTTGTGGTGCATGCGTACTTAATGTTTTCTACTATTATTCCATTTGGAGAAATATATACTTTTTAATTAGAATGGACCTTTGTTCCCAAGCAGAAATTTTACGAGTGATTATTAGTTTTAGAATGCATACCTTTCCTTCAATGGTTTATGTAACAATTATTTTTATCATTGCACACCTTTTGTGCACTTCTAGTAATAAATATATTCAAAAACAGACTGAAAGCTGTATTATGATCGAGTCAGGATATAAAAAATTCCCGATCTTCAATCTTCAATTAATTTATGCACTTCTACTCTTTCATTCTACAAGATTCATGCTTTCCCTTCCTTTGAATGAATTTTCTAGGAGATAAGTCCTCACTTATAAGTAGTTTGTCATTTTAAGTTCTATGGATGCAGGACATGGGGGAGATGATGCCTTCATAACTATGGGAGACGACGACGGATCCAGAACAGAGTTTTGAAGCAATTAGTGAAGAGACAGAAGTAAATGCACACACGTGAGATGATGTACCTCATGGACTAAATATGGCTCTGTGGTTGTGTATGTATTTAGAGTTTGATTTTATTTTGATAATTTATTGTACTCTCTTGTAGTAAAAGATTATATTTTGAAAGTTTATTGTATCAACATACTATAAATTGGTTTTAATTTGTTAGTTAAATTGAATTTTTGTTTGTTTTTTATTATTATCATTATCATCATTTTACGGAGATATATGAAAGTTTATTTATTGGATAATTAAATAATAGTATAAATGTTAATAAATACATTAGGCAATAATTATACAACAATACTACAATAGTAATGAAAAGAACTGTTGTCTAAAGTGAGTAGGCGAAGGGTCAAAATTGTTGCAAAATTAATTATAGCCAATGGGTTAGGATGGTAGAAATAGCTTGGCAGTATACAACGGGCATTGCGTATTTTCAAAGCTCAAACCCATTGCCTGTTGCTAGACTATGGGCAACGGTAAAAAATCGTTGTCTAAAGTGAATAGGCAAGAACTGTTGTCGTTTTCCGTATTTTCCTGATCTAGTTTTAATGATTATTGTTTGATTCCTCTAAATTATGGCATTTCAAGGCATAGCCATTGTTCATGTTCTTGAGGTCGAATCACTTATTCAGCTGATTTACTAAAATTTTCTTTCGTTTACTATATAGAAAACCAAACCTCCAAGGGCAAGTACTAAATCGTCCAAATGAATTTTTCCTCCATCTCTATATATTTGGTGATAGAATTGTACCAACTGATTCAGTAACCTCTCAAGATGAATATACGTGTACACGGTAGAACAATTTATTTTGCTGATTATGCTTTCTCATATGTGGGTTGACTTTAAATCGCCATGCACAAGGGGGTTATGTAGTTTATTTGAATAATAGTTTGTGTTTATGATAGAAATTCCAGTTTATATACATAATACAAGCTTTGTATCCCTTCTTTAAATGTCTTATCACAGAGGAGATGGAGCTATTAATTCCCAAAGATACCAACTTAAAGCTTGCTTTAGCTAATCAACTTTTATCATTACTATTCAAAGAGGGATTACAGAGGAAAGAGTTGACAAATTTCTTTTCCTTCAAACTTCCCACAGTCTCCTTTAGGCTCACTTCCAATGGAATGAATTAAATCCCCAATGTCTTTGCTTTTTCTTTAGAAACCTGATATATTGGTTCCAGTGGCTTATTGTCCGCACACCTATCAAGTGTAATGTGGAACCAAGAATTGAAATTAGTGAAAATTTCAAACAAAAACAACACTTGAATTAAATGAATGCATTTAGACAGAGAGAAAAAGCCATTTGGTTCATCAAAATGATAATATACAGCAAGAGAGCAGAGACAACTACTAAAGCAGAAAAATGACAGATAATTTAAGCTTCAATACGTAGATAAGAAACAATGTAGTGATAAGTTTAGAGAGGAATATAATTAAGCAAGCATTTTTAAATTTACTTTTCAGGAAGTTGCAACAATGGATCTAGCTCACGCAAAATCTTTACAATATCAGAGAAGTGTGCCACTCTCTCAACCAACACATATCTTCCACTAGCTGAAGGAGTTTCAAATGCTTGAATATGGGCATTTGCAACATCTTTCACACTGACCCATCCAAAACTATTATTTGGAAATGTCTGTGCACCTGCATGAAGCAAGAATGGAAAGACTAGTCATGATCTTCCATTTCTTTTACTTTTTCCTACTCTTTCCATCTTTTGACACTAATCACTGTTCTTTTTCCATTGACTAGAGCCATAAAAACTCATTTTGCTGAAGATGATGTAGTAACTCAAATGATTTCTGAACATAAAAAAGTTGATTACCGTTGATTAGATTTAAAATTACAGCAGCACTTGTATTGAGTGTTGGTTGCAAGAGAGGTCCAATCACTGTGGCTGGATTGATGGTAACCATGTCGATGTTGTTCTTCTCTACAAATTTCAATGCAGCATCTTCAGCCAAAATCTTGGAAACTCTGTATAACAGCTGAAAGCACTAAATTGGAAACAGCAGGAAACTTGAAGAAAGTGTAATCACAAAATCACATCTACACCCATTATTCGAACAACTATGGGATCTTAAAAAACAAAAGAAAGTGACTATAGTTAAAATAAAATATTGGACTCAGAAGCAAGCAAATACTCTTATGAAAAATAGCAACATACACAGGGGTCCTTGGGTAGTCAAGATGAAAATAATGATAAAAGAAGAAGATATTAATGATTTGACTGAGAATTTGGGCAAGGGTTGAGATGGTTCCTGCTAGGATAAGCCTTCATGGATTTACCTGTACTGATAGCCAAGTTACAATATTGTTGAGCATGTTATGGAGTTTTTCTTTTTATTTACTAATAATGTGCTTGTATATGGAGTGTTATGCAAAATTGATGGAGACCAGAGTTGCCATTTTGTTGCAGAAATAGGGAAAGAGAGAGAAAACGAGAAACAATTTTCATTAACTAACAGTATCATTTGACTTCTTAACATTTCACTGACTAATCTGTCATCTATATTAACACCATGATGCTCCCAGAGCTAGGCCTTTTCACCTTAATGTTGAATGGCCTTTAGGCAACATTACTTATTTCTGCATTAGTAATTTAGCACAATAAAATTTAAGTGTATACCTTAGATTCTCTACTTAAATCTAGATCTGAAAACCATGTCTCATCAACAATAACTTCAGGAGTTTTAGGTTTTCTATCATATGCAACTGAAGCAATGGAGGAAGTTAAAACAACTCGCTTCACAGATCGAAATTTAGAACATGACTTGAGAACATTGAGCGTTCCCTTGACAGCCGGATCGATCAGTTCAGCCTGAAATGATGCGTGTAACAATCATGAGCTATAAAACAAGGACGCTGACTTTATTTTCAGACAAGTTGGTAGTAGCCTTTGTATAAATTCTAATCCAAGAATATGTAATGAATTCATTTCATTCAATTATACCGGTGAAGAGATCATGCTATTATTTGACAACTGAAAGCTTTAGGGAAGTGTTAACATGTAAATCCATCAGCCCTCGGATAATTCCTGCTTCTTGAAGGAATTTTAACCTTTTGAGTATAATTCCTTAGAGAAGTGTAATGAAAAATAACCTGTTGATTTCTCTTTTGGAATTGCAAAGAACATATTTAGAATTAGTGTTCAACAACTGTAGAACGGGAAGAACCTGTGGGTCTTTGACATCATTGATAATAAAGGGAGACGCAGTATGAAAGACACCCTCACACCCCTTAATAACAGGGTCAAAGGAACCTTCATCCAGGAGATCTGCTTTAATCAGGTGTAATCTCTCGTTTGCACCATCAAGTTTGAGCAAGTGGTCTACCTTTTTAGGATCATCTGCATTATATATAAGGAAGAGCAGAACAAAATTAATGAATCTTTAATGACAGAAATGCAAAAAGCAAAATGAAGAAATGGAATATTTTGGGAATCTATACGAGAACTAAATATTTTAGGATCAGTTTTCTCACTTGTTAATTAATTGTATTGGATCAGTATCTTTATTCACCTTCACAATCAGAAGTGTGTAGGCATATAAAATATTTTTTTTCTAAAGAAACAAGGATAATACGGCTATAATTTACTCTAAACAACCACAACGTCCAAAGCCAAAGGCCATAATAGAACCATACATGATGGATTCTCTTCATAGGCCAATAATAATTCTCAGTTTGTTTTGTTTTGTTTTTTTTTGGGTGATGATGATACGCTTTGTAGGAGCCAGTTTCATCCATCATGATCTGTTGAAAGACATGGATTTTGAGTCCGACGGTGGAGATGTGAAATTCAGCTCATATAACTCATGAGCTACCTAGAATGCGATATATAGCTCTCCCCTATGTTCATATCAACAATCTCTTCCCACATAATTCAATCTTCAATTGTCATATCTTGATCGAATCACTGAATTTTGTGTGGCTTCTGAAACCTATAATATCGTCCCCCATACACAAGACTACAACTAGAATTCTAAGTGGATATCAGCGAAGATGGTAAAAAGAAGCACTCGCTAGTGTCTCGAACAGAGGCCTTAACGGTGTAACCACGATGAAGGAGGAACTTGACCTGCCATGAAGCGATGAAGCCAGAAGCACCAGTGACGCAAACGAGCTTCCCTGCGTTGTTGATGCTCATTCTCTCTCAAATCTCAACCTCAACGTTGCTCGAAAGAGATTTTCACTGCTTAAAGTGTCCTCAACCTCAACTGTCATTTTCCGAACGGCAAATGCGGCCTTTCAAACCTGGCCAGGCCTTCTGCGTCTCCGCGAAACAGCGTCGCTATCAGAGAGGGTCAGAAAACTGAAATTCCAGCTAACTGGCGGCAGAAAATTTTTAAAATCGCATGAAATATTACTAATAAATGGAAGAGTTTTGTCTTCTTCAGTTTTTTTTTTTTGGGTAAAAATCAGATTATATTAAAATACTAAAATAAGGTTACATACAATTGTGGGAAGTTCAGGAGTAGTGTCCCAATATCTTTTTGCAGCATTTGCAGCGTAGAAGGTAAATTGCAAGTAAAAAGACAATAATTCTGGAGTAGTTTCTATACAATTATGAGTGTAATTTAAAATTAATATATAAATATAACAATATTTTTATTAAAAATATATTACATAATTTATAAATAAATTATTTTATTTTATTGTAAAAAATAATAATTGTAAATTATTAAAAAAGCAGTTGTAAATTATTTTATTGATATAATATATTTTTAATAAGAACATTATTATTTTTATTTCTTAATTTTAAATTACATTTATGTCTCAAAATTGTGGAACTTATTTATAAATAAGTTTGCTCTATGGAACTTGTATGTAATTTTTTATTTATTTATTTATTTTTATTCCAGGTACTTAGGTATTTAACTTGATATATGTAATGTACTTTTATCAATTCAAATCAAAACAATTGAATTTTAACTTGTTAATAATATTAATAACAAGAATTTATTATAAAGTGAATAATCTATAAATAATATATATGTTTTGATTTAATTGAAAATAAGCACAATAAATTTGTTAAGTATATAAGTTTCTTCTTTTATTTTTTATTTTCATGTAGGTGAGATATTTATGATTTTTTTAAAGTAAAAGTTTAGGTAAGTTAAGCAGGGGTTACTAGAAATAGGGCATATCTCTATTAAAAATTTGTTAGAACGTGAGAATATAAGAGAATACAAGAGATTGTAATAATTTTCTTTAATTTTTCTCAATATATGATTTTAAATATAAATAAAGTTAGATTTTTTATTTTTTAATAGAGTTAATAGTTTAATAAAGAATATGTTGTTTACTTAGAAGCTTCTAAATCATGCCTTACCTAAAGCCGGGGATGAATCCAAATACTAACACATGGATGGGGCAAAAATGAAAGCTACTTAAAATATGGGGACCTAATACTAATTTTCACACTTTTTACAAGTAAAATAAAAAAATTCTCAAAATTTTCCCAGGGACCAATCAAACTGTGGGGGAAAGCACCCCCCTTACATATGCCCTTGCCTACAGATGACATCTTAAGGGATCATCATTTGCAAAATAATAATTTATGTCCTTTTAGATGCCTTCATGAAGAGTCCCTTGTCAACCTCTCTTTGCAGATTGTTCCTTAATTAAATCCTTGTAGTTTAGTTTCTTGTCCATTCGATCTTTGGATTTCAATCCTGAGGGTATTGTATCTTTGATTTTCTCCACCTTTTAGCATCTACTCAGAGATTCTAGATTTGATTTGGTTAAGCATATCATCACTTTTCTCTCCCTTTTGGGTTATTATAGGAATCAGCCTCTCTCAAATTTCAAAGAGTTTTTTATAATTAATGTTTCATACTTGACTACATTTGTAATTGGTTAAAGGCTTCCTGCTTGGACTCTCAGTCTATTGTTATGACCGATTCTGCTACTTCTCATAGCAATATGGAATGGTCCATTTGGTCAAAGAAGATTAAGTCAGGTAGACAGGTCATGTGTTTGTTGGTTATTTGTCACAAACATCAACCTTTGAATGAATACACTATTGAATGGTCCATATGGAATGGCCTTATTTTCAGGAAGGTTTCTACTGATTCATCTTCTCTCTTTCTACTATGTCTGTGACCAGCTCTTTGGTGGATACACTCTTACCACAAGGACTATGAATTTCCTATTGGAAATATTATATCATGATCCTCTGTCTGAAGAGGAAATTCATAAGCCTAGACATTCTCAACTGGAAACTTTTTGATAGTGTGAATTGGTCTCACCTCCTTTCTAACCATCTTTCACAAAGCAGATATTTGTATGACGCAAGGAGACCTTTTCTTTGTTTTTTGCTTTTCTACTTGGGTGTGCTTTAATGTTTTGAATTTATGACTTTTTATTGTACATTTGGTTCTTTTTAATATTTATGATGTTTGACCTTTTATAAAAACATAGTTTAATAATATCTTAATTTTCAATGTTGTTCTTAAATGTTACAACACAGGCGTATTATTGCTGTCAAACTCGTGAATTAATTCATTGAGTTTATCATTTTATATTTCTATCTTATAAAATCGTGCCAACTCACCTATAAATTTAATTTAGATTAGATGCAAATTTAGCTAAAGTTGCAAAAGACTTTGTTAAATTCATTGATTTTCTATAGAATTAAGTGAGTTAAATATATATTATGTAGAACATAGTTTACAGAAGAGGTAGGACTTGGCTCAAAGAAATATAAAACTCAAAAGGCAAGAACTAATATTAATATTAAAAACAAGAAGTACAAAATATAAGAGCTTGTATTGTTTTGTTTTCATTTTTTTTGAAAAACTGTTTTATAAATTAATTTTTCAAAATTGTTTCTTAAAAAAATGAAAATCCATGTGATTATGTTAATTTGAAAAAAAATGGAGTTAAAAAAAGATGGATAGTGGTTGTTGACATTAGTTAACCATAATAACTTATGATAGTGGTTGGTCATTGTAAAATGCCTAAATTACTCCACCCCATTAACCATAACAAGATACACAGTATACCATAATAATTAGGGATTAACCACCTCATCTTACCATAATAAAAAAGAAATAACTATATATAAAAAAAGCTAATCATAGTAGAAAAGAAAAGACCCGCATTAAAGGTCTATTATGCTTGAATAAATAAACATATATTTTAAACTCAACATGAATAATTAAAATGAATGCTACCATCATAGAATAGACTTTATCATGGTAGGATAGATTTAAAACTATATATATATATATATATATATATATATTAAGTACTAGTATATTAGAAAAGTTTGAAAATTGAATTTAATAGTGTGAAATCTCACAAGTTTTAAGAGACTCCAAAAAACCAAGTTCCAAATCAAGTTAAGACCAATCATAATATGGAGTACAAAAGTACTTAGAAGCATGGAAATTCACTTTATAAATATAAGCATTGAAAATACTTTAAATTTTTTTTTCCCCTAAACTGGACTCGTTCACCACAACCAAAAGGCTCACTCGTCATGGCCAACAATCTTGAGGTACTTCACCTTAGCCAATGCAACAATGTGTTGTAGCGAGCCTCTCTATGTTGTGTGTTGCTCACCACAAGTGTACAGGTCGTAATAAATAATATAATAAAAGTAAAGTATCATTCCCTCCAGAATTTGTTTAAAAATAATGATCAAATAAAAGACTAAGTGAGTTTAATCAAGTTGAGCTAAACATAATTAGGTGAACATGATTTTGCAAACTAAATTTACACTAAAAAATAAAGAAAACAAATTGATTCAGAGATTTCAAACACAAATTTGAATTTAGAATTATTTATCCTCATTGTATCTCATAACACCAAAATCACCTCCTCTTTTAAATGCTTTTAATAAAAATAAGTGCTAAATTAGGGTTCTAAAAATACTTGGACAAGCTCTCTCAAGTCATAAACAAGTGTTTAGTTAAATTAATTGTCCAATCTCTCGTTACAATTAATAAAACTCAATTTTTAGCTCTAACCCTAATGTAGCTATGTAAGGCTAGCAAGTATATCCTTATTGTATTAGCAAAACTATCCATTTAACATGCAATTATCAAGTTCTTGCACTATTTTACCCAAGTTCTATACTCAACTTAGCCCTTTCAAGTATCAATCAAGTGAATCTAACATCTAAATGATAGTCAATCACTTAAAAGTATTAAGAAAAGAGTAAAATAAACACGCACACACACACACATCATTAATCACAAAAAGAGAGGAGAAACATAGTGTTAATTCATATATGGGTTTCAAATCACTCTAAAACAAAGTGTTTAGCTACTCATAATCATCCAAAAGATACAAATATACAAAATATTTGAACCTATATTAAAATATTAGAGAGAAAAGGGAAGATTAATAGAAAAATAAAAGAAAAAGAGCTCCAAATGTCTTCAAAATTCCATTCTCTTAGACCCAACTCTTCCAATACTTAAACCCTAGCACACAAAGCTTTAAATGGTTGCTCAAAGTTTGAAGAATGTGTTTTGGATTGAGCTCTCGGCATATATATGCCATATCCAACCAATTTTAGATAAATAAAATGTAGCATTTTTCTAACAGTGGCAAAAATCACAACTTTTTGACAACTTTAGTAGTTTTGAACTGTTTTTATAATTAACAAAATTTATCCTTTTTATACTTGATTTCATCCAAAAGCCTTCCAAAAGCATTAACAAAAGTCTAAAAATGCATCTAATCAAATTTTAAATTAAAATAACACAAAATTAGGCCAAAAATATCAAATTAAAACTAATAATATAAACCCAAAACAAAATGTATATTTTTCTAATTTGGTCAATAAATGATGAAATAACATAAAATTCTAGAGGTTAACATTATGCTTTGTGATGAAGGTGCCATTTGCCATGGCAAATTGCACAAAAATGATAGCATTAGTGTTGTCAAACCTCAGCACTGGGGATGAACTTTTGATGTGCTCTGTGCCTCTGTTCAAGGTCCAGTTGGGGTGATCTAGATGTCCATAAAATGTTTAGATAGTAAGCTAGCTAATAACATTGGTTTCAAATCAAAATAATATTACATGAAAAATATAAACACTTGGAACCAAACTTAACTTTTTTTTAAACACTTAAACCCTTCCAAGTTGTCTAAAACCCACACAAAGCTCCGAAATCCTAAACACCTACCTAGATCAAATCCCTAGAATTTAGAACAATTTGTGCAATGCATTGCATTCTAAATATAACACATATATCACATTTTGACTCTTTAACCTTGATTTCAAGAAGAACCACAGGAGAAGTGAAAATATCATAAACATCATTAATTACTTCTTTTGCAACATTTTAAAACATTC